TGGCTATTGTTTCTGCTAATTGAGTAACAGTGTTACTTTCTGCTGGCACGTCATTTTTACTAATCCCCTCTAGTGCAGTGCATGCTGTTCCCTCCCATGAAAACTTAAAGAAAAAAAGTTGTCTCATAAATTATGTTTCTTTGGGAAACAACAGCTGCTGTGCAAACATACATTCTTTGCATGGTAACGGTGTGTGACCAAAGTTGGCCCTTGAAATTCCCGATCTTCCTGGACACAGCTAGAGTGTGGAGACAGGGGTTGTGAGAAGAAAAGATCCCTTTCTCGCTAAGTTGTTAGATGTTAAAAGATAGTGAGTCTGAAGCCTGGAGGTAAATGGGCTGAGAGATTTGGTGTTTTGAAAGGGCCAGGAGTCTGCAATCAGTCTAAAGAAAGCAAGCCCAAGATATGCAGAGAGGACAGAGGAAGACCCTGGTGAGAGAGCTGTGTGGATAGCACGGAGTGCTTTCCCCAGATGGACCCCTGTTGATTTCTACTGTTCTTTGCACAGCAGCCCTAGTGGCACAGTGACTGGAACAGGACAGGAGAGAGTTGCAGTTGTAAGTATTCAAGGTCAAAGCCTGGAGGGGTTCTGAGTGCACGTAATCTTGAGTTGGAGACTGTGCTGGTCCTGTTTCCCACAGTGCCAAGTCAGTAGGAGCTACCTTTGTCCCTTTGTTCCCATGTTAGGGAAAGAAGGTGGGGAAGAGAGCTGTGCTGGCTCTACGAAAGTCACACAGTTGCTTGTGTCTGTGCCCACTCGCTCTGCTCCTGCTGCTCCTGACTGTAGAGTCGGATGCTACTTTTGAAGTGTGTAGGAGTCCGTGACCTCGGGAGGAAGCCAGAAATAACGGGATGCCCCAGATAACACACTGTCCAGTCTTTGACTGTCACAATCTTACTGTGTGGGCCGAGAACAGAGATCATTGCATGGAACAGAAAGATCCGACCGGGAGCACAGTATCTCTCCCTGGTCTATTCATTGTGCTCAATGATCTATGTGTTATGGGTTTCGGTGTTCGACTTTGGGAAAATTACTTTTCCTCTGGGAGTCTAAATTTTTCTCAACAGTCTCACAGATATGGTAAGAATGATGCCCACATCCATAAGGTTGTTTTGAGAACTAAGTGGCAATGGATAAAAAAATTACAGTACAGTGAATGGAATACAGTCATGGTTCCAAAGGACAGCTTTAAAATATTGGATATTAGCAAAAGAGGGTTATCTTATAAGCAGGTGCAAAAAGTTAATGTTTTTAACATGTTAGCAGATTAAAAAGACAAAACAAAAGAGAACAGCTTTCCCAGTTAAAAATGCAAAGTGTGGGGGCCAAGTGAGTGGTGAGTGGAGCATTTTAGGATTCTTGTTGTGTGACCTGTGCTGTAAACTGCCATATAAATCACCTGTACCACCCATTATATTGGCTTGATATCCTTGGTACCCTGACATTTCTTCTCAAAGAACATTTATCTTGTTAAGTTGGAAACATATCTGTCTTTCCAATGACACAGAAAAATCTTGGAGCATAGCCCCTTTAAATTTGGCATCTGCCCTGTCACACGTAAAATAAAGGACATGCATTTATAAAACATGAATGAAAGCATAATGAGGACGTGATGCTCCTAGGTCTGGTGGAGGAGGTTTCCTGTAGATGCCAGAGAGAGCATAGCAACCTTCGGAGGGGCCACACTGAACCAGCTCTTGGGGGTGGGGAAGAGCAAGAGAGCAAGAGAAGAGAGGAGGAACGAAAAAAGTTCCCGGGAACCCAGAGATAAAGAGGCCACGAGGTAAAAAAGGACCATTAGCCAAGATGGTTGAGGTTATATAGGAATCAGAGAAGTTGAGGAGAAGGGAAGCTTGGGCTGGACAGTTTAGGGTGGGGGTGGGGTATGCCAGCCAGAATGGCTCTGTAACAGGTACAGAGATGCGCAGGAGTCTGGTGGCCAGGACTGCTTTGATGTGCTAAATAGGTACCCCAGTTAGTCATTTGAGACCTAGCAAAATGGGTCTGAAGTATGTTAGGAAGTCTAGAAAATGAGGAGACCAGAGAATTTTACTCTGTCCTGTTAGTGCCCAATGAAAACAAAACACACTTCAATCAGTTGTAGCAAGGTCACTTGTTGAAAACACAGACAGCAGTCAGAAACTTCTTAGGCCCGCCTCGTCCTTCACACTGGTTGGCAGGTTCTGTTTCCTAAGTTCATGTGCCATTTGAGGTAACAATTTTTTGTTGTCATATTTTGTTATCTGAGGCCTGGGAGAGGCTCCTCGCCTCTTGCATTCAGGCTAAGAAGTCCTGGATGCCTGCAGAAGCTGGGAAGGACAAGGAATGTCGTTTGCCCTGTCGTCCCCAGACAGGAAGCTCCTGCCAACTTTGCTTTTTCTGTCATTATGAAGCCAGCTTCTGATATAGAGGTCTGGGTGACTTTTCAGGCCGATGGTACACAGTTTCAAAGGCTGGGGAGACAGTTCAGTGGGTGATGTGCTTGTCCGTACACATGAGGACCTGAGTTTGATCCCCAACACCCACGTTCAAAACAAAAAATAAACAAACCGACAGTCCAGTGCTGGGTGCAGAGTCCAGGAAAAGAGAAATAAAAAGGAAAGGAAGTGACAGCTCCTAGGTGTGGTGGAGAAGAAAGGTTATTGTCGACCTGTGGGAGAGCATAGCCAGAGGCAGGGACATCTGGAGAGTCCAGAATAGCTGTGACCAGACTGACCTGGGACGTGTGGGAGGAGGAAAGAGGAAGGGACAGGGGAGAAAAGGGAACTCTGTGTAGCAACCAGGAAGCCAAAGGTACAAAAAAAAAGGGGGGAGGGGAGGGCAAATAACCCAAATGTCTGGATTATATAGGCAAGATCCTCTGGGGAAAGGGAAGCCTGGCCCCTAGGCTGGAGAGTTCAGGGTAGAGGATGAAGTGTTCCAGCCTTACTCTGTAAGGAGCAGGGACTGAGGAATGCTGGGAGAATCTGGTGGCCAGGACCAGCTTTGATATGTTAAATAGCCACCTTGGCCATTTGTCCAGGGCTTGAGACTTAACACCCACTTATAGTCATGCTGAGGAAGCAGAGACAGGAAGAAGACCCCTTGGGCTTGCTGGTCAGTTAGGCTAACCCTGCTCCAGGTGTAGGAAAGAGATCTCTCAGAAAACTAGGGTGGAGAGCAAGTGAAGATGTCCCTTGGTATTGACCTCTGGCTTTCATGTACACACACACACACACACACACACACACACACATATACACACGCATGTTGACCAAGGTCCCGCCTGATCCTATAGCCGTTCAGCCCCAAAGAAACACACAGAGGTCTATATTAATTATAAACTGGTTGGCCTATTTGCTCAGGCTTTTTATTAACTCTTACATCTTAAATTAGCCCATTATTCTTGTCTATGTTTACCATGTGTCTTGGTACCTTTATCAGTGAGGTGTTCTCATCTTGCTTCCTCTGAGTCTGGGTTATGACTCTTCCCAGAATTCTGTTCTCCTTGACCTGCCTCTACTTTCTGCCTGGCTACTGGCCAATCAGCATTTTATTAAACAAGTACAAGAAATAAATCTTTACAGGGTAAAACCATTGTCCCCCAGCACATGCACACACACACTTGCACACACTACACACTCATCCCACGCATACACATACACACATGCACACAACACACATAACACACACGTGCACATGCACACACACACACACACACACAATTACAAGGGTCTTACTGGGCCTTGGGAAGGACAGAGCCTCCCAGTCTCAGACTTGTGCACATTACAAGGTCTCAAGCCCCTTGGGCCTATCACACTCCATGTATTTGAGTTTCTAGCTTTGGACCTATTAATCCCAAAGATGGGAGGAAAAAGACATTGACCCAAATCATCAAGACCAAATTAATTAAACTAAGCAATTATTTAAAGTAAGCTTTTTTATTCATGTACATGGGCTGCCTCTCCCTAAGGTGGTTCTGAGAGGCCAGCGCTGGATGTGAGGAAAGCAAGGCTTCTATAGCTCAGGAGAAGAGGGTTTCCAGATGGGGGACTTGTGGGCAAAGTAGGCGGGGTTACAGGAGCAGAACAAGCAAGTTAGCCCTAATGACCTCTTGAAACAAAGACAAGGTTGTGAGGTGGGCTTTACAAGGCAGTCATGATGATAATAAGGTAGTAACAGGTGGTTGTGTAAGCTTTGGAAACAAAGACAGGATTTCAGCTCCTGAACAGGCGGGACAGAACCATTTGTAGTTAAGGTAACAGGTGGGGCGTAGCCCAATTCTTGAAAACCAGAGGTTTAATCATAAACAGGAATTCTTTTGTCCTGTTTGTCTATGTTATAAGATGACTTTTAAGCCTCAGTGGAGGCAGGCTGGTTTCTCGGAGCTTCATTCCTAATGTTCTTTTTACGAAGCTTTGGCAGAGGTCTTCTTCAGCTTCTTCTGCAAGGGCATCCTGTGGCCAGAAGGATGGGGAACCCTGAGAGATGCCCTTGTGTGAACTTTCCCCTCCTGCTCCTTCCTCATTACCCTTTCTCTGACCTCAGGGGCCACAAAACTTCCAGAGTCCTTTGCTTGGGTCTCTCCACTAGTGAGACAACCCCGCATCGGGCTGTTCCATCTGACACTTACCTGTTGCAGGGAGTCAAGAGGAAAAATGGAACAGCCGGTCCTCTGAGTTAGACTCTTGCTTATACCAGTGCATAATGTGCTCAAAACCTTCTATACTATACTGCTTTACTCAATGACTCAGATACTAGTTAGACCGGTCCACCACCCACTTCCTGCTCAGCTGGGCTTCTGGTAAAAGAAACTGGTTTTGGATTTCTAGCACCAGAAGTCTTCTCCCTTCCCACTCCCCTTCCGTCTCCTCCTGTCTCCTCCCCTCCCCTCCCCTCCTCTCCTCTTTTCTATTCTTCCCTCCCCTCCCCCTCTTCTCTTCCTGTTTCAAACCACTAGATTTGTGGCAATTTATTGCAACTGGAGTAGGAAACAGTACTGGATGGGTTTGTGAGTCAGCTTGACACAGGATAGAGTCATCAGAGAGGAAGGAGTCTCAGTTGAGGAAATGCCTCCCTGAGACCCATCTGTAAGGCATTTTCTCCATGAGTGATCAGTGGTGGAGAGCCTGGCACATGGTATGTGTTATCATCCCTGGGCTGGTGGTCCTGGGTTCTAGAAGAAGCAGGCTGAGTGGGCCAAGGAAAGCAAGTTAGTAAGCAGCACTTTCCATGGCTTCTGCATCAGCTCCTACCTCCAGGATCCTGCCCAGTTTGAGTTCTTGTCCTGACTTCCTTCAGTGATGAACAGCAATGTGGAGGTGTAAGCCAAATAAACCCTATCCCCGAAAACTTGTGTTTTTTTGGTCATGGTATTTGTAGCAATAATCAAAACCCTCCCTAGGACAGAAACTAATACTCTAGCGTTTTGGTGAGAATTTTTTTTTGTCTGTATTCTTAAGTTGTCCTAGTTTCAATTCTGTTGGTTGTGATGAAATATTCCAATAAAAAAGGAACTTAGGGAGTGCACTGGCTAGTTTCATGTCAGCTTGACACAGCTATAGTCATCTGAGAGGAGGGGACCTTAATTTAGATAAAACGCTTCTATATGGTTGGGCTTTAGGCAAGTCTGTAGGACATTTTCCTAGTGATTTTTCTGGGAAGACCAATACCATTGTGGGTGGTACCAAGCCTGGGCTGGTGGTCCTGGGTTCTATATGAAAGGAGGCTGAGCAAGCCATGAGGAACACATCCCCTCCATGGCATCTGCATCAGCTCATGTCTCCAGGTTCCTTTCCTGCTTGAGTTCCTGCCCTGACTTCCTTCAGGGATGAACTATTACCTGGAAGTATAAGGGAAATAAAGCCTTCCCTCCTTAAGTTGCTTTTGGTTGTGGTCTTTTATCAAAGCTATAGAAACTCTAACTAGGAGAGGGAAGAAAGCGTTTATTTAGCTTATAGATCCAGGTTGTAGTGTGCTCACCGAGGCAGGAAGTTGAAGAAGCTGATCACATCACAGTCAAGGACAAGAACAGAGAGAAAGGGATACATACATGCTCAAGGCTCAGCTAGTTTAGATTTCAGGTCCCAAACCCGGGTGTGGTGTAGACTGGGCCTTCCCACAGCCACTAAGGTAATGAAGTCCTTATACATGGGCCCACAGGCCAGTGTGAGCTAGACTCCCTCACTGAAATACCAGGTGATGCTAGACTGTGTCAAGTGACAAAACTAAGCACCCTGTAGGGGCTAGTGGTCTCTAGCTTTCTCTGCTGTTTGACTGGTTGGGGACAATGTAAGATGCTTTTCCTGTCTTGGATTAGGGAGAATTCTTTTTTCTGCTTCCGTACGTATTTGTGTGGTGGGCATGTCTTGGTGTGCTTAGTGAATTTACCCATTGGCTGGACTCTGTGTAAACATTTTTTTTTAAATTCTAACTCTATGATTTTTTAAAAAGATCTTCCCAGGGTTTCTATTTTTTTTTCAAGTCAGTTTAGTAGTTTGTGAATTTCTTGACTGTGTTTGTTTTGCCTAAGTTGTCTAACCCATTTTGAGCATAACTATAGTCACTATTATCAGTACTAACTTTTGCTCATAGCCCAGCAGACATTTGCAGAAAACGTCTCACATGCTCATGATTCCAGCATTCAGGAGGTAGAGGCAGAAGGATCAGAGTTTCAAGACAGTCTCAGCAAAAGGTGAGTGTGAGTCCATCTATGGGAAACATGAGACCTTGTCTCAAAATGTTAAGACCAAACAAACAAATCAATAACCCCCTATAAGTTTTCATGAGTATACCTGCATACCAAAAGTTATATAACATCCACAAAATTCACTTGCTTATTTTATGGTGTTGGCTTCTTTCCTGGTAAAGTATGTCTTCTTTTACATTAAATTATATATATTATATATATTACATTAAATTATACGTGTGTGTGTGTGTGTGTGCGCGCGCGTGTGTGTGTCTGTACTTTCAAATATTTTCTGTTCTGGTATTGAACTTTTATTTAAGATAGGATTTGAGAACTCTGCTCATGAATGAGAACTGGGAATTCCACTCACAAATTCCTCCTTCTCCTGATAGTGAGTCGCAAACCTGGGGCCTCATGCATGCGGCAGAAGCACTCTTGACACGAAGGTAACACTCCAGCCCTTGCTTTTTTGCTTTTACTAATGTTTCACTTTTGCCTTTGTGAGCTCACCTCTGTTTTCTCTTCTTACTGCTTACCTTTATTTCCAGCACTGCCTAACTCCCCTTCCGCTCCTAATACTTGATTTTTCATTTCCTACCAGTGTTCTATTATTTCCTCCCATGTCTTTTAAATACTTATTGTGTGTAGAGGGCGCACAGTGGGTGTATGACTGAGTGGGAGGATGCAGGTATGAGTACACTGTTGAATTGACTGGCGCTTGCACACGCAGAGGCCACCACGGAGATGTCTGGTGACTTTCTCTGTAGCTCCCCGCCTTATTGCCTTGACCCACATTTCCACACTGAACTCAGGGTTAACCTTTCTGAGATTACACTGGGCAGGCTGGCCAGTGACATCCCAGGATCTGCCTGTCTCTGACCCCAAGTGCTGGGGTTTCAGACACTCTCTGGCCTTTGCCTTTCGGTGGTTGTGGGGACTTCCCAGTTAGGTCCTTACACTTACAGCAACACGTCCCTGCTTGCTGAGCCTGTTCCTCAGCCCATCTTCCTCTTCCTTGCTCTGTTTTTGCTCATTCAGATCCCTGCTGCTTCTTCTTGTCTTCCATGGAGACAATTGCTTCATTATGAGGTTCTCATTTTCATAAATATGTGGTTTGAATTTTTGTTGAAATATGAGCGGCGGGGCTGCGTCCCCAGCACCCCAGCCGCCTGCTAGCTCATGCCCGAAATAACAACACACAAACTGTATTCATTTAAACACTGCTTGGCCCATTTCTATCTAGCCTCTTCTAGGCTAATTCTCGCACCTGGACTAGCCCATTTCTAATAATGTGGGTAAGCATCCCAAGGTGCGCTTACCGGGAAGATTCTAACCTACGTCCATCCTGGGTCAGGGCTGCCTGGGAGAGCAGAGCCTGGCGTCTCTGCTCCAGAGAGTAGAGCTGTCGGGTCTGAGCTCACTTCCTCTTCCTCCCAGCATCCTATTCTGTTTACTCCTCCCACCTATGTTTTAACCTATCAGGGCCAAGGAATTTCTTTATTGCTTAACCAATGAAATCAACAGATTGATATATGACATTCCCACATCAAATTTTTAGTTGCTGGTTGACAACTTTTTTCTACTGACTGTGGCTATCCCATGAGTTTGGGGAGATAGAGGGAGGGGGAGGGAGAGAGGAAGAGAGAGAGAGAGAGAGAGAGAGAGAGAGAGAGAGAGAGAGAGAGAGAGAGAGAGAGAGAGGAGTATGCCACGTGTGTGCAGCTGTCCTCAGAGTCCAGAACAGGGTGTCATATCCCCACAAGATGGAGTTCTGGGTAATAGTGAGCACCAGACAAGGATGTTGGGAAGCAAACATCCAGGTCCTCTGGAAAATCATAAGTGCTCTCAGCAGCTGAGCCATCTGTCCAGCTGTTGGTTATTGAAGGAGGCAAAGCTTCTCCTCCACTAACAGGAAGCAAGGTTTGTGTCTCAGTTAGTAGACTGCTTGCCTAGCCTGTGTGAGTCTCTGAGTTCAATTCCTGGTGCTGCATGAAGCCAGGCATGGTGCACATACATATGTTCCTTGTGCTGGGGACATAGGTTTGAGGCCATCCTTGGTCATGTAAGATCTTTCTAAGAAACAAGCAAGCAGCCCCCTTCTATGCTTCAGGTACCAGTGTGTAGGAAACGTTCTGATGTTTGCAGTTGATTGACCCTTGTTTCCAACATAGTGCCCCAGGGACACACATCTCTGTGGCTCAGGCCTGACCCACTCCTGTGTTTTATACATGTCTTTGTTCTGGGTCTTTCAGAGATAACCAGCTGCAATATTTTCTCTCTAGTTCTGTGGGAGTGTCTGCCCGCCTGGTTCTCACTAGGATGGAAGACCCTTTCATCCGCTTTGTCATTGGGATAAGCTGGATAAAATAAAACTGTCTTCTATGGTCACCCAAAATAACTTTATTGCTTTCTTTTCTCATTGCTGTTGGAGGGTTTCCAATTAATGTCAGCTGCACCATCTCTGTGCTACTGTTTTGAAATAGGACAACCTTGTCTTGGCTCTCACTGTTTCCTAGGCTTATTGTTGATGGTGCTTTCTCTCACTTTCTATTCCCTTTCTTTGTAGATTTTTTTTTATGCTTGCATTTTTAACAAACGACTTGAAAGGTCTTGTCTTTGAATTTTGACTTTGCTCGTGTGCACTATTGTGTCCCTAAGGAGGTTCTCATGTGATTGCCCTCCATACTTCTATGTCAGTGGAACTGGTTCTCATAGCCAGTCTGGCTGAAAATCTCAAGGTCGCGTTTTGATGTTGCTTTTTGACCCTTCATATTACCTTTACTACTGAAATTATTTCTTTTGTATTTCTTTTACTTTATTAATGTATACATGTGCCTGCACTTGAATGTGTGTCTGTGTACTATGTGTGTGCAGATCTTCTCAGAAGCAGAAGAAAGCATCAGATTCCCCTGTAACTGGAGTTACAGAGACTTGAGTCACCATGTAGGTGATGAGAAACAAACCTGGGTCCTCTGTGAGAGTAATCAGTGCTTTTAACCAGTGAGCCATCTCTTTAGTTAGGATTTATTTTAAAAATAGTTAATGGTTTTTCAAAAGTAGGATATGAAGTAACAGGTTTCACAGTGGCATTTTCATACAAATGTGTCATGTACTTTGTCACAGTTCATCTTCCTCCTCTGCTGTTCTCCCCCAGCTCCTGCCTCCCTCCAACTGGTTCCCGTCCTTCTTCTCGACAGTCCCTACTCTATTCTCTTGTCTCACATATTCTAGTCCCTCTTTCCTTCCTGCCTCTCACAATAGTCCTTCTTTCTCTCTCGTGACCTCCTTCTAGTTTCAAGTACTTCACACACATTTATAACTATAAACACACACATATACATATGTGTATGTGTGCATATATATAATATATATTATATATGTGTGTGAGGGTGTGTGTACATGTGTTTATATATGCACATATGAATATGTGTTGTGTGATTTAAAATCCACTTTCTACACATGAGAGCAAGTGTGGTGTTTGTTTTTCTGAGTTTGACATATTTTGCCTCACCGATTTCCAGCTCTACCCATTTTCCTACAAATGTCACAACTTTTCGGTGACTGTGAATTACATTGTCCACACAATGACTTATTTCTGGCTCTTCCTCTGTCCATTCCATCTAGTTGTAGAGCTAAAACTTTTTTGAATGCATCTGAATATGCTATTTCAGAAGCATTTCAGCCATTAGCCCATGGTTCCTCCTCACTTCCTCCTTGCCATCCCTGAACATGGCTTTCTTGTAGCACCCTCCTTGTGATTGCATGTTTACTTTCAGGCATTGCCTTTGCAGCATCCATCAGTTGCGAGAGACTGTCTGACACTTCTCTTCTGGAATCCTGCCCCTCCTGTCAATAGCCAGCCCCAGATGAGCTCCCTGCTGCTTGTGTTCAGGACACACTCTGGAGTTGAGGATGGACTCACCTGTGTGGATAGCACTGTGAGAAAACCAGGGTGTACTACCGAGGAAAAGTGGGGGGAGCTTAAGAAGCAACAGTGGTTGCAGACTTGATTATGTGTTAAAATTCAGCATTTCTTCCTGGCATTTAAAAGTTTTTATTTCTTTCCTAAGAAGGTCGAAACTCAGCTGTACATTCACAGCAACCTGTTGCTATGCCAAGACGCTTGACTTCATCTTACAAAAAGGCTGGGCTTAAGCAACAACCAGCAAAGACAATTACTCTTGTCAAAATTTATCATGTGATTCCTAACATATTGGTAAATGAGAAGGTTTTTTCTAGTTATGTAAGGTTTCTTTTTGTATCTGACAGGTTTTATGATTCCTGCTGTTGGGATCAGTGAAAGAACTTGATTCTCCATAAACCAGAGGTTACGAGGGATTCGTGTTTTACATAGGGCTAGGGCTCTGTCATCACGGTTCATTGGTGGTGTTGCTTACAGCAGAGTCTCCTGTTTAAGGGGCTGAATCACCTTCCATTACACACAAATCTGTGTGTGTGTGTGTGTGCATGTATACACACACAAGTAATTCCTTAAATATAAGTAAATATCCCAAAGTTTTAAGACTCTGTAAGCTGACAGGGTGTAGAGAGTTGTTTTAAAAGAAACTATATTGAAGTATAGTTAATACACAAAAAGTTGCACTGGCTTAATTATACCCTTTTGTTTTTGTTTTTGTTTTTTTGAGACAGGGTTTCTCTGTGTAACAGCCATGGCTATCCTGAAACTTGCTTGGTAAGCCAGGTCGACCTTAGAGTCACAGAGATCCACCTGCCTCTGCCTCCTGAATGCTGGGATTAAAGGCATGCACCACCATTGCCTGGTTTAATTATACATGTTGGTGAGCTTGGATAGATATGGAAAACTGTAATATCACCATAACCAAAATACTGAAAAAATACAGAACCTCTTTAAGAGTTGTGTGTGTGTGCCTGTGTGTGTATGTGTGTGTGTGTGTGTATCTGTGTGTATCTCTGTGTGTGGCTCTGTGTGTGTTTGTGTGTGTCTGTGTGTATCTGTGTTTGTCTGTGTGTATATGTGTGTGTCTATGTATATCTGTGTGTGCCTGTGTGTTTCTGTATGTGTATGTATGTGTGTGTGGTCTGTGTGTATCTGTGTGTGTCTGTGTGTGTTTCTGTGTGTCTATATCTGTGTATGTGTGCGTGTGTCTCTGTGTCTGTGTGTGTCTGTATGTATCTCTGTGTGTTTGTGTGTGTCTGTGTGTGTGTGCTCGCTGTAAGCTCCCCTGTCTTGTCCATGCATCATCACATTATTAGATCCCTAGAACCCTCTCCTCTGTATCACCAAAGCCTTATGCTCATTGGCAACACTTTCCCATGGTTTCCTGCCTCCAGCTCTGGAAATCTCTTTTCTACTCTCTGCTTCAAACAGTTTGGTTCTTTTTTTACTTACTTCATTCAGCCTTGTCTCCCAGGCTGACCTACGTTGTTGCCAATGATAGGATTTTTCCTCTTTGAAGATTTTAGTTTTGTATGTGTGTATGTCTGTATGTGTGGGTGCAGAGCCTGTGAAGGCCAGAAGAGGGTGCCAGACACCCCAAGAGCTGAAGTTACATACATGTGTTTGTGAGCCACCCTTCATGACTGATGGGAACTGAACTCTGACCCTCTGAAAGAGTAGTAAGTGCTCTTAACCTCTATGCCATCTTCCCACCCCTCCCCCACCCCATGGTTCTCTTGTAATATTTAATATTTTGCTGTAATATAAATCACATTTTTCCTATCCTACTTCGGATCTCTTGATGGACATTGAATTTATCTCTTGACGGATATTGGATGGAGAATAATGCCACAATGATCCCCAGGGGCACAGGTCTTTTTTGAGATTCTGAACTCAGTATCATTATACACACACAAGAGATATTGCAAGCTCATATGGCGGTTCTGGGGTTTATTTGTTTCAGTGCTAGAGTTGGAATCCAGGGCCTCATGGATGCTAGATGAGTGCTCTACCATTGAGCTTACCCCAGCCCCATTTTAAATTTCAAGCATCCTTGACATTTGCTGTCTTTTTCCTTCCTTCCTTCTTTCCTCCTCCCTCCCTCCTTCCCTGCCTCCCTTCCTTTCTTTCTCCCTCCCTCTCTCATTTCATTCTTTCTTTCCTTCCTTCCTTCTTCCCTTTCTTCCTCCCTCCCTCTCTCATTTCCTTCCTTTCTTTTTT